CAAAGGAGTTAACTGACTGCACAAGTCAATTTTCCACCCTTGCCGAACTACGAACTACGCTGGAATTTCGTGGTTCACCACCAATGGTAATTACGTGTTATGTCCCTTCTATGTCCCTCCTACTGATCAATCAGAATCCACCTCTCATATCACTTGCATTTGCTTCAAACAAAAGACGATCTGACCAAGATCTCTATGGTAATGTAATAGGTCTTACCTCGCGAAGTAAATGAAATCACCTGAGCTGCTTGATTACAAACATGAAAAGATCTTGAAAACATCTAACGGTACACCATTTGGTGTTTATGGCAACGTTGGCAACAGACGAATGCAGTCAGAGACCATCTTTGGAGTGGCAGGCCACGCGTAACCAATAACCGACAAGACAACTGGATTCGAACAACACACCTACGAAATCGATTCCAGCCAGCAACAGGGACTGCAAGAAGCATCCCTTGCCTTCGACGAATATCTTCACAAACCGTACGTCGTCGCCTCAGATGTGCAGGGATTGTCGGCAGACGTTCCATTTTGACAGGAAACCACCATCAAGCAGTGGTGCAGACAGCGTCTACGCTGGACGGCCATGCAGTTCTATTCACTGACGAGTCTCGTTTTCACCTGTTTCTACAGCTATGAACGGATTCGAGTGTACCGACGTCGAGGTGAACGTTACGTAAATCCTTGTGTCATGGAAGAAGGACGGTTTGGGGGCGTTATGATATGAGGTGGGATTACAGCAAGACAGAGGACCCGTTTGATAGTGGTAGAGGGAAATCTCAATGGACAGCGCCAGCGCGACAAGATCATCGGCCCTGTTGTTCTACCGTTTTTGCACCGTCGTGGCCAAGGCATTACCTTTCAACATGACAACGTCCGGCTTCATATTGCTCGACTTGTTCAGGATTCTCTTCAACAAAACAACGTGAATGTCATCCCCTCGCCGGCTCGCTCCCCTGATCTCTCACCAATCGAGCACATGTTTGGATGAGATGGACCGGCGCCTTCGACGTCAACCACGTGTTCCACAGACACTCCAGGAACTTCGAAACATGCTCCTACAGATATGGACAGATATCCCACAGGACTTTGTGCGACGCCTGGTCCATTCCATGAGACGAAGATGTGTTGCTTGCATCGCAACAAGAGGTGGACACAGACGCTATTGATTTGTATATTGACATTTTGGCATGGTCGTGTTTTTTTTTTAATGAAATCACGCATTTTCTGAAGTCAGTATGGCAAATTTAACCATTTGAACACTCACGGGAGTCTTTTATCTGTTGGAAACTGAAATTTGTTTCAGAATTGGTAAAAAACATAACTTTGAATTAAATCTTATTCAATTTCACAGAAACTTTTGTTGTTCAGTATATGTATTTCATCTTTTAAACACCACAACGATTGCCTATGTTTTTTGTGTCAGGGATGTTATCGCGAATGTTATCGTTACCCGATCGACTAGGTCTTCGCCATTTTGTGAAGCTAGACGCGATAAGAACAGTGATCTGACAGGATATCGCATTTGCATGTCAAGGGGCACAATTCGTGATCTACGCGGGGTGGGCGCCAGGGTCGGGCTAAGAAAAATGGCCTTGATGTGGCAAGGGTAGAAACTAGGCTTTGAAATGGGCTAGTGGACACGCTTGCCTCGGGAAGATGCTTTCACTGCTGATATACTCATGTCATGATGGATCATGGCTTTTGTGTTTTTTCGCTGCTCGTTCCCCATGTTTGTCCATTTTTCAGGTCACAGACCCCTGTTTATTTTACACATTTACTCAGTTGAGTGAATGTTTTGTGGGTATATCTCTATGAGATTACATCAAGTCCATATCAAAACCTGTGAAATATTATGCAACTATATGAGACTGAACTTATAAATCGCTCCTTCCAATTGCGTATATTGATGTTCATGATTTCAATCACTGGATTATTGTCTCATCCAGGCTCCATTGTTTACAGATTGCCGCCACATAGCTCGAATATTGCTGTGTGTGGCGTTTAACAACGAACAGATAAAACATCTAAGGACAGGACAACACACCTGGAACTACTTGTATGTTTATCATCTCGATTGACGACGGCGGCAAGGGAGTACGATCACATTAACATTTATTATTAAACGAGAGCGTTGTCTTTTACGTGCCCGATATCAATCGTTGTTTACAAGTGTGTTATTCCTAATTTGTAATGTCTTTGAACGTTTGAACTGTCACTGATCTGGGATGTCTCTGAAGTTTACACAATAGGTTAGAAGGGTTTTGTGCTCATTAAAGAGAGGACACACAAAAGGGCTTCCATATTGCGCACGTGGGGAATCGATCGATCCAGGGCCTTTGTCGTTACGAGTAAATTCAAAACGTCAACGCGTGAGAATATTCACTTTTGATGATTGTACTCTGTTGTTCTTTCTTAACAAGGTACAAAATTAACAAGCACAAAATACTCATATCATCCGCCAATATGACATGTCCGGTTGTCTGCAAGGCCAAAAATATAGTACGGTTTTTAAGACCTGCACCGGAAACGAGTACTACCGCCACTTTCAGTCTAAGTCAAAGTCGTTGCATTTGAAACACCAAAAATATTTTTTTCAAACATTCAAAACTACCAAAAAGCACCAGTCCAACTAGACCTATCTGTGCGCCAAGTTTGGTAAAGATAGTGTCATGGTTGTTTAAGTTCTGCTCCGGAAACGAAACGTGACGGACAGAAAACACCCAATCCACTTCGTGGCGGGGGACAATATTTTAACAAATATCTTCAAAGCTGGTAGCAAATAATTCCGAGATGAACATGTTCTAATAACATGTACGCTTGAATAGAATGATCCTTGGCTCCAAGTGTAACTGTTCGATGCCCTTAGTGCATCTATCTGAATTTTCTGCTGGAAAAGTAATTAGAAGCGAACGCACCTGAAACGCCTCAACTCCTCGGATGTCACATCAATATTCATCATAAACCGCGAGTGTGGTCTTCTATGTGTCTTATTTCAAACGTTTTGTTTGTTTGCTCCACAATATTCAAGCTTCATGTATGTGAGCTGTTGACACGATGACACCAAGGCAACTAGCCTGTCGACGGGATCCAAATGGTAGCTTCTTCCGACCATCCGTTGAGGATGAGGTTTTTAAAACCCTGAATCCAGATGGGTAATAAGTGTTCAAAACGATTGTCTGGATTTCTATATTTTTATTAGGACAAATCAAAGTAACTGTGTATTGCTTACTTGTATAAGAAACCATGACGATGCTAACCATTCCACAAAATTTACATACGAACCTGATTGCTTCAATGGCTGCACGGCGATGCGCGAAAAGAGACTAAAATGACCAAACCGGAAGTTCAGTTCAGCACGCGCTAAATTAATGGATATGTCACTTATAGTCACATCGGCAGTTGCTAAAGTATTGTGACTAAGCAAGTTACATATGTTGAAATAAAATAATGAGGGAGATGTAATCTGAATATCAAATTCCATTAGTGGGAATTGTAGCTGATACCTTAATTTGACGAAAGAGTTGTTAAAGTAATCGGTTTTTACTTGATGGTAAGATATTTTAACATGAATTTGAAAAATACTCGATTTGACTGGTCAGTCAGAGGTTTCAAACCAGGATAAATCTCCTCTGAAACAGCTGGTTTGGCGGACACTTTACCGCGCACTGATATGCATCTGCACTTAGTGCTTTCCCTTCAGATAGTCTTCAGATATGTTTTTAAAATTTCAGTCGAATAAACACGCAGACGACATTTGTTTGGCTTCGCCGGAAGTAGCTCTTGGTCGAGTGCATTATGACTCTAGGGGGCATAGGAATAATCAAATTGAAGTTCTCAGTGACATATCTCAATGAGATAGTATTTAACAATTAAACATAAGATGGTCACTTGAATAATTAGAAACATTGTTATACATGTTTGTTTTCTGTTATATATTTTATGTTGGCATTATATGGAAAAGTATGGGAAAGTAAACCCATCTTTTCATATATTGAGTGTCCTGCTCAGTCAAGCAAACGTTACATATCAAAGAGTTCCAACTCAAACCGGTCATTGTAGAATGGAGATAAACCTACTGTGTTTTCAACTCGTGAATGGTCTTCAGCGACCCATACTTCCCGTAAAAGGTGACTATGCTTATCGTAAGATGCGACTGATGGGATAGGGTGGTCAGGCTCGCTGACTTGGTTGATGCATGTCATCGTATCCCAATTGCGGGGATCGATGCTCATGAAATTAATCACTGGATTGTCTGGCTCAGACTCGATTATTTACAGACCGCCGTCAAATAGGTGGAATATTGGTGAGTGCGGCGTAAAACAACAAACCAACCAACATGTATATGTATGTTGGTAATGGTCTGCTTGATTAATTGGATAATCGGAAATTTTTGGCGCGTCATACCAGGTCACCTTTTGTGTGCAGCGGCCGCCTTAAAACATCTCAAAGGTAGGTGAGATTGTGGAAGCCTAAAGACATATCCACATAGTCTGGCATTGAGCAGGGGTTTTGAATCTCCTCATCATCTAACCACATTTCTTGGTTTGTGTATGGAGTGAAGTTGTCTCTAAATGGCGTAATTCTGCAATGAAGGGAAACAGCTTATTGTTGAAAAAGGTGTCATGGGGAAATGTAGTATGCATATACAAAATATTAAGTTTTGATTTGGAAAGGACACATACATGTGCTGTCACTCGTTTGGGGGCATGGAGGCCCGGTTAAAGTAAGGCGCTTCAATTTGACATTCGTATTGCAGGCGTTCCGGAACAGCGTTGATGTGAGTTCAGATTTAATTACCATCATACCAGTATGTAAGAGGGGATGTTAAGGTTGCTAAAAACGTCTAGGTTGTCCCTTTCAATGTTGACAAAACTGTCCATGTAAAGTCTCTTTATGTCTCTTTCCCATCCCAGAATATTTTTTATCCTATCAAGTAGGGATATTAATATATTAAGCAATTACTGCTTGAGTTTATAAAATACGTACATCCGGTTAATGTTAGACAAAGTAGCTGACCTTTAAAGGCTATATGAATCCATTTCAACATGGCGGTTGTGCGCTTCGAACTGGTTCTGCCGTTGTTCCTTATCCTACAGACGGTAAGACATTCTTATTATGAAAATTCACAGACTAAACTTAGCATTTAAGACTATAGTCAATATTTAACGAGTGACGAGGAATGACGGATTACCTGTCCCGAGTGAAATTAATGTTGTTTCATCATTAATATCACAAGGGACAGATGATCCTTGTCACGAGTAGTGTATTGTTTTTGTTACCCATCGTCAAGTTTACTCTTATAACAGTGGCGACGTCGCATTTCATAATATTCATACGCGTGTTCGTTGAATTTTACATGATCACACATAGTCTACACTCAACACTTAGATTCAGCGAATACGAAATAGTTCGTTTGAGCAGCATGAATTCATCGACAATTTGAGCAATATAATGAATTTTGGCGATACATATACATTTTGATTCATATATAATAGTACAACAATGAATTAAACATGACTTAGAATTATTGTTAATACAAAATTCAAACACGTGTAGTTCAAACTGTTAGCCAGTTTCTCTCGGTCGACTTGGCCCTCAGTCGCCTCAAAGTCGATAGCTCTGATGACCGAGAACAGAAAACCAAAACTTTGGTCGGTCGGCACATTCTCAACAACGTATCTATGTTAACTGATTCTACAACAAATAAGGTATATTTGAGAGATTCTTTCTCGTGAGCATATGAATTACATTTTAATTTTTTTTCAAAACGTAAACAATGGAATGTAGCGTGGCCTGGACCTTAAACTGACAGAGCTGGGCCAGAGTGTTTATGCAGCGTTTGCACGCAAATTCGTGAAGCCTTCCATATTTGTTTTTAAAGGCCTGCAAAATCTTCTTGGTGTCGTTCAAAACTATGCTCATATGTGGCAGCTAAAATATAACGTAAGCAAGCGTGCAGTTCTATACTTTGGATGCCCAAACAATAAGGTTCAAACAACTTATGTATCAATTGGCGATATGCATGTTCCACAAACGAAATCTATTAAATATGCAGGTGTATATCTTAGTACAGATAAATCATCACTTGAACGTACAAAATCTGCATGTGAAAAATTATGTGTACTCATCAACACTAACCATAATAATGGGTTGTACTTTGGTGGTCTGAATCCTTTATCTGCAGCATGTATCTGGGAGAGGGTAATCTTATCATGTGCCCTCTATGGATGCAGCGTATGGGGTAAACTTCCTCTTAAAGAGTATGAAATGCTTGAAGTTGTACAACGTCAATTTTGTAAAAATGTTCAGGGACTACACAGGCGCACTACCAGTATTGTTGTGTTGGATGCTATCGGCATCATGTCACTACAGTATTACATAGATAAAAGAGCACTCGACTTCTTAGGAAAGCTATGTAATGCAAAGTATAACTGTGTTTTTAAAGTACTGTTTCTAGTTCGCCTGGGTCAATTTATGTGTACAGATAGTTTTACATGCAATGTATGGAGTAGAAAATATGCTACAGCTTGTACAGAAGTGATACACTTGTTAACTATGTCAATAATTGTCAATTTATTAATAAGAAATGCTGGTCCAAGGCCGTGAATGATGCTATGAAATCTCATCGAGATGATGTATAATATGTCCATCTTAATTCAAGACTCAGTCTGTCACGAATAAGATCAAGTAATGAACACTATCTCTGGAAACTGGCCGTGGAGAAGTATGACCATTTAACTAATATTGCAAGGCTTGTATTCTATGGATCAGCTGAAATTTTCTCTAGAGAATGCTTTTGTAAAACTTTTGCCAATGATATTGTAAAGCACGTGTTTATGTCCTGAACGATCAATATGAATGACCGAAATCTACTTGCGTTAAACATATTAAGGGAAGGTAAGGTGTTTTAATTATGGGGCAAGGACGTGTTTAAGTTTGTGTTGAGAATGAGAGTGAGTACATATTTGCTATAGTGTGGCTGGTGCCATGGTTTAAGCGTCATATTTCCGTTTCGGTTCACAGTCCAAATTGTTTCGACTTAACGTTATTCAAACATAACAATTTACTAAGTGCCTTGAGATTGATGACTTAATTCGTTGGGGTTTGTTTTTTCAGAAAGACTCCGGCGTAGTGTAGTGAATAAAACTTTCGCCTTTTCCTGGTGTCCCTTGTCGTGGAACTGTTTGAATATTGTTTAATGCGGCGTAAAACAAGACTCACTGAATTTTCTTCGTCACCCCCAGGCGTCTGTTTGTAGAAGTGTCCCGGTAGTGACCGATGTCCGGATGTCCGCTGAGGGGAGCATGCGACACATTACAGTGAGTTATGAAGCGGAACACCAACCTACCGTGCTATGGAAGGTCTGCAGTTTTGTCGGCTGTAAGTATGAAAGTATAATTTTGTTTGCTTACGAAAACCAGTGATTGATATCATGAGCAAGTTAACACGCCGTCTGGATGCGTTGACCAATATGAACCAGGTCACTGAGCCTGACCAACCGATCCATTAACTTGCCTCGTACAAGAAAAGGCTACTGGAAATCCTATCCGAATAGGAAAATGTATTTGTACAGTAAATATGTGAAATGATGTTAATACAAACAGAAACAGAAACAACACTTAAGCTTGTGCTATCAAGTGTGTAATTTTTAAGGTTATTTCCTCCAGCACGACCATATATTCAACCTCTGTATATAAAGGCTCCGCCTCCGCTGTGTTTTCGATTCAGACTTTGCCATTGATACACTGGACAAATAGCGAAAATAGATCTTATTAACGCGCTGCTTTCGATGTTTTGATTACGATATTTGCATAAGCGATGTTACGATCTGCCAAAATCTGTTTATATACCCATGAGACTTGCACTTTAAACTTCAACCCCAACATTTAAACCTCAACCCCAACGTTGAAACCTCAACCCCAATATTTAAACCTAAAACCCAACGTAGGCCAATCGACCAATGGGTGATCCGGAAAGCATTTCCAATGTGAGCCAGTTTTGGATACTAAATTTAAATTTCGTTCATCTTCCTGTCTCGAGACTTTGTAATGAATTGATATAAAACGGCATTATTTGGCTCGAACGATTAAACCCTACGAGTCACATCTTTTCCGCGAGTAATGTAACATTCATTGCTTCTTATGATTTATAGATTTTGACAACACAACCAATAACTTCACTGGATCGGAAGGGCAAGCAATGCTTCATTTGTTCATGGAAGATTATGCAATTAACATCCAGACCTTCATCTATGGAGACAGCTACCAAATAGAACTGATATTTAACAAGGAAGTCATTCTAAACGGCTCATTAGAACAAAACACCATCAACCCTTTGGTGTTCAGATCTCAGCCCGATGGTCTCATCACTTTTGACAAAGGCGAACTTGTTGACATTGATCTGTCTCTTGAGTCCGAGACTCTTGGGTCGCTCGAAATGGATTACACTGTCGGAATACTATCCTCGTTTGATTATAAATCGCTCCCTCCAACTGAAACTCGCATACATTCTTCTAAATCAGAAAGCCACCGGTCTTTTAGGAGAAACTCATTTATCTTACCGGCTCTGAACATCACACGCGCGTCGACTATAGAGCATACATTGGCGCGTATTAACACATCCTTCCCCTACACGGAAGGAGAGATAAGACTCGTGGTCGCATTAAGAGTTGACTCTGCATATAACCTTCTTAATAGCATCAAACTCAGGCACTGGGTATATCTGAAGAATCGAAGACACGTTTCTCCTTTTCAGAGCAGTGTGAGTTTTGTTTTTAGTGAACTCGAAAGGAATCCAGAATACATTAATTCGAGATGGCCTCACACCCATGCGGATGCCATGGGCTATCCTAAACCGGTTCTGAAGCTATTCCGAGATTGTCGCGAGATTACGGAGCAGGAAGTGGAGACTATCACCACCGGAACCCGTTACCGTACCCAAACCTTGTTCCGGTTCAAGAACATTACAGATAGTTTGGAGGGAGCCTATTACGTTAGCGCGTCGAACGGGGAAGGCGAAGTCACCAAGATGTACTATATCGAAATAGTGTGATAGTGTACCGTTCGGCGATGTTGATGATAATCTGTGAGCATTTAATATGCACTGGAGATACAAAAAGTATCTTATGATAATCTGTAAGCATTGTATATGCACTGAAATTACATAAATTATGTTATGATAATCTGTAAGCATTCTGTATGCACCGATTTGAATAAATAAATTCAAGATAATATGTTGGAATTCTATAGGAATTTATCAGCATTCGTGGAATTGTACCAGGGATAAGGGTGAAACTGGTATTCGAAACCACGATCATCGAATCCTGGTACTGCTATTGAATGTAACAGCCTTATATCCAGCTGCTGTTAGCCAGTTTCAGAGATGACACGATATGGTTGCATCTGCTCTATTACTTTTGTTCGAAATGCCAGGGTCACTAAAGTACCAGTGAAGGAGCCCACAATAAAGAGAATAATGGTGATGCAGATGTCGTTGAAAGTGTCTTCAAAATATTCTTTTATATCAATATTCTTTTTATTATACATATAATCTCATCGAGTGTCTCTTGGTATCAAATATATCAACACGCGTTGTTAGGACACACAAGATGATATGTAATCATATCCAGTGAAAAAGTGGTTGTGACAAGCAAGATGATGACGGTGTTGTGTGAACGGTAAACACCATAATGACCGAAATACAAAACAAAATCATCCGGACTAATGGGGTTTGTCTATTGAAATGTTTCAGTTGAGGTTGGTCGTACCGATCAGGTGATCTCTGGAAAGTATCATCGGTCGGGCATTATAAACATTACGGTTTCCTTCCTTAATTAGTTTAATTTTTTGCCATAAATGAAATCCGTTAGACTCGGTGGGAAAAAGTATTACAAAATAAATGTAGGTTGTGTGCAGCTTCCCGAGGCAAGGGAGCTTACGCCCTTGCCTTGGGAAGATGAGTTGTGTGATGAGTTGTGACATCCTGTTGACTCCAAATGTATCTGTATGTTATGTGTTCACAGCCATGACATGACACTGCATACATCAGCGCGCAATATGACTCACGTACCGGCTCATTTAACATAACAGACGCCTTGCCGATTCCGACGGAGCATATAGGTCAGCAACAGAATATGCTTGTGGTTAGAGCGACTTAAATGGAAAAAGTTATCAGGGTCATGCTTGATTTAGTGCGTGTTATCAAACCCATCGTGCTCATAATAACACTCACTGGTTTGTCAGAGCCCGTCTCGATGTACCGTCACAGAGTTTGGATAGTGATGAATGCGGCGTTAAACAAAAAACAAATCAAACAAGTCAACGGATGTTGAGTTGCCTCCCTTAGGTATGCCAGGACTCGAATGTTCGATTTATAATTAGGCCAACTATGTTATTTGGTTTGTCAACACCGTACCGGTGTTCTAGTATTTCGCCACACCAGTTTGACCTCTGCTCCCACTTTAAGCTGAAGCGCTGTTGATAAGTGAGATAATATTTTCAAAGCGGCGTTTATTCCAATTTACTGACTGTCAGCCTGGTTCTTTTACCCAATGGTATAAAATAGACATATTAGGCATATCCTGTTGTTGATAATGGTGTAATTAGAACCTAAATGTAGCCGCTTGATCGGTGTTGTATGGCTTCCACAGTGTTGGCGCTGCAGCCAGCTCTACTTCTGCCATTATTACACGGGATAAGGGTTAGTTTCTTATGTTCTGTAGAAGTGCATCTGTACAAAGATGATAAGATACGATAGAAGTCCTTTATCAAAGAAAATTTGTTTACACTGACTCAATCATGACCTGATCATGAATATATTGGGGATATGTTTTCGTTGTGAAAACTGAACATACAATTTAATTACAAATGTCCACCACATTATTAATGATCATAATTCTTTGTTCAGTATATATACACACATAAGCTGGGAATATAATCGTGTACCTGCACTGTAAATGAGTGGGTTAAACGCCCCTTTTAACAGTATTCTAGTTACTATATCGCAGCGTGTCAGCTTAATGTGGGAGGAAAGCCCGAAGTGATGCAGGTCTCAGACGTTTACCGCTTCGGTGAAACCCACGAGAACGGGCATGGTACTGACAAACCTAGAAACATAATCGAGGGGAACCGGGATTCAAACCCACAATCATAGGTTCCTGGTGTACCCAAGGGACACAACTCTGCACAGCGAATCGCGGCGCCTCAGACGACTGGGCCACCCATGCCCACACACAGTAGATGAATGCGATAAGATGTGACATCGCATTAACATCAAATCTTAAATTGTAATCTATCAAGTCAAATAGGTTTTTGTCATGTATCAAATCAAATATGTGATTTTCAGAGGTGCGGTCAAATAGGTGCCTGTAGGCCATGGGCAGAGATCCCTAAAGGCTGTCAAAATTAGCAACTTTTATACAAATAATTCTAGTCAAATATACTGAACAACAAAAGTCCCTGAAACAATTTCGGTTTGCAACAGATAAAAGACTCCTGTAAGTGTTCAAATGGTTAAATATGCCATACTGACTTCATAAAATGCGTGATTTCATAAGAAAGGTGAACATGCCAAAATGTCAATTAACAAATCAATAGCGTGTGTGTCCACCTCTGGTTGCGATGCAAGCAACACATCTTCGTCTCATGGAATGGACCAGGCGCCGCACAAAGACCTGTGGGATATCTGTCCATATCTGTTGGAGCATGTGTTCGAAGTTCCTTGAGTGTCTGTGGAACACGTGGTTGACGTCGAAGGCGCCGATCCATCTCATCCCACATGTGCTCGATTGGTGAGAGATCAGGGGAGCGAGCCGGCCAGGTGATAACATTCACGTTGTTTCGTTGAAGAGAATCCTGAACAAATCGAGTAATATAAGGCCGGACGTTGTCATGTTGAAAGGTAATGCCTCGGCCACGACGATTTAAAAACAGTAGAACTAAAGGGCAGATGATCTCGTCGCGGTACCGCTATCCATTGAGATTTCCCTCTACCACTATCAAACGGGTCCTCTGTCTTGCTGTAATCCCAACCCATACCATAACGCTGCCGCCCCCGAACCGATCTTCTTCCATGACACAATGATTGACGTAACGATCACCTCGAAGTCGGTACACTCGAATCCGTCCATCGCCGTGGCTGAGGTGAAAACGAGACTCGTCATCGAATAGAACTTGTCCCCACTGCATGGCCGTCCAGCGTAGACGCTGTCTACACCACTGTGGACGTGCTTGACGGTGGTTTCCTGTCAAAATGGAGCGTCTGGCGGGTCTTCTGGCGACAATCCCTGCACATCTGAGGCGACGACGTACGGTTTGTGAAGATCTTCGTTGAAGGCCAGGGATACTTCGATTTCGTAAGTGTGTTGTTCGAATCCAGTTGTCTTGTCAATTATTTGTTTGGTGTGGCCTGCTACTCCGAGGATGGTCTCTGACTGCATTCGTCTGTTGCCAACGTTGCCATAAACACCAAATGGTGTTTCTGTGGACGTTAAATTGTCTTGCAACATCACGTTGACTCGATCCTGTTTCAAGCATACCACAAGCTCGCAGACGCTCATTTTCGGACAGGCATGGCATTTCGTAATGTTGAAAATTTGTGTAATTTTGTTGTTTTTCTGAGTGGTTGTTGTCAGCACGATGCTAAACAATACATATGGAATCCCGTTAAAGCACATGTTTTTATACCCATTCCTGATTAGTGAAAAATACATGGGGCTTGCATAAAAGTCAACTTTTGCATGCTCTTCTGTAGCAGTTGCGTTTTTGTGACTTGATTCAATATATGTACAACGATATTGTAAACCAAACTTTACTTGTTTGAAAAATACACTGAACATATTGGTGTCACGGGAACTTTTGTCGTTCAGTATAGAACAAAATATACCTTGTCCACATGTGTACACCACATTACTCCTGAAAATATAAAACGTTAATGCCAGAAAATAACGCGCAGGGGACAGATACGGCAGGGTACGTCTGTATGAATACTAATAGACGTCACGTAACGATGATACATGTACGTTATAATCAGGAATTATATTTTAGGGTTCCACTGTTTGTGAAATATGAACAGAAACTTGACTGTCGAGTATATGTTTAAACTTTATGCGTAAACAGCAAACATATACAAAGATTGCATTAAAAGATTTCTATTTTATTGTCATCAACTAAATCACTGCACTTTAGACATAAAATCAATTTCTTTATTACCAGATAGTGATGAACGGACGCGAATTGCATCTTTTACGCAACGTAACACAATGGTGCACGACGCCATTTTAAGACGGCGTCAATAAGGATACCATCAGCGTTAAATGCCGAATCACTTCAGCTCAAATTCGAAGGCCAATCAATTGGCGTCACCATCATCATCAACGTGGTCAAATTAGCATCTGGGAAGTCACTACTGGTAAGTGTGTGTGTGTGTGAGTTTGTTGGGATTAAGGAATGTTGTAACAGAACTTCAGTTCCCACACACCGTGTTTTCTTAACGAACGAAGGTCGGAGACGTTAACCGCTTTGGAAAAATCCACGACAGCGGAATGACTGAAGACGCTATCAACGACTTGGTCACCCGTACCCCTTTAAAACCTTGGTGAAACCCAAGAGTGTGAGTCTATGCTTATACACCAAGGATAATAGACCGCCTCCGTGGTCTAGTGGTAGAGCGTCCGCCCGGAGAGCTTTAGGTCCGGGGTTCGATCCCCGGCCGCGTCATAGCAAAAGACGTTAAAAGATGGTACTTGTTGTTACCCTGTCTGGCGCTCGGCATTAAGGGGCTGGTCGGATCGGAGTCAGTATACTGTGTCTGACGGGGTTATTAATGTTCAACTGCGGCATGGTACCTCAGTGAGCTAGCACTATAAATCGGCATCAGTCCGGACTAATACAAGCAGCCACACAAACACATACACGTACATGCACGTCGCTATATAAGTGCAATAATCTTGGACGCGACGGTAAACCTCACCCAAGGATAATAATCAAGACGATTTCAGAATTCTACCCCATAAATATCGGATCCTGGCACTCACATTATTATATTTCACTACTCACCCGTGAGAAGATAACACAAAACGAAACGTCTTTATAAAACAGTATTTAATATCCTCACAACATTCATGTTTTAAGTCCCTCGCTAATGACCCGGGAATGACGCCACTGATTTACTCGATACAGATTATCCGTAATTCCGAGTTTCGAGTTAATTATTCTTTATATCACTAAGTTGA